ATGCCTGTGGATTATTATTGATTTGTTCTTTCTTTCTCTCTCTTTTCTTTAATGGGTTTCTGGGCCAGTGGGCCTGCATATATATGAATGTAGATACAGGCTATGACCTCCTATTGTGCCGACAACACATTAACTGCTGACCAAACCCAATATCGATTGCTCCTCTAATATGGGTCCGCCGGCCTGGCCCGCTTCAATTGCAATATACTCCATAAAATGAACCCAGAAATTAGGGGTGTAAGTGAATAAGATAATTTACAAATTCGAATTGATTTAAATTCATCCGGTAAGTTTAGATTAATTTATTTTTAGTATTTATGTCAAATTCAATTTAACTCGATTAAAATTCGATATTGTATGAGTTGGATAATAAATTTTATATTTTTTGATTTGTAATTTAACTCAATATAATAATAATAATAAATAATAATATTAAATTAATGTTTGAATGATCATTAGTTAAAGACAATACTTTCTAACACTTTTGATTAGGGGTATACAACAATTTGATACCCAACTCGAAACTATAAAAAATGAAAGAAAAAAAAAAGACAAATGGACGAGTTCGAACGAGTTATTAATTTAAGTGAGTTAAAAAATAGTTCAATATGGATAATTCAGGTTGGGTTTAATTTGATCTTTTGGATGGATTGATACCCAAACCTAATCGGGAAGAAGTTGAGCTAGCATGGTAGGAAGGGATTGGGCTAAATGGAAGAGCATCCACTCATATTCACTACAGTGCCTCGAATCTTCATGATCCAACCTCACTTGCAAGTCTCTTACATCCATGTGCTACAGTCCAAAACTAATTAGGCACATGATAAACACACCTCCACTCTCCTATAAACACACCCCCTTTTAAAAATATATATATATATAAAATGTCTAAATTACCCTTAAAAAAATAAAATTCTTAAATTTACACCCCCTTTCCTGCCCTCCTATTTCCCGCACCCTCCTTCCCCGCACCCCATACCCCCCTTTCTTGCACCCTTTTTTTTTTCCTGCAACTTGGGGATGAGGAAAAGAAGTAGTGGAAAATACAGGCAACGCAAACAGGGTTTTGGGAAGATCCAAAGACAATTAGAATACATATTTAAAAAAGACAAGAGAAAGCAAAAAAGACAAAATCTGAGACCAGTTACAATTCTGCAATGCTTCAATTGAACTTATGAAAATGGTGATTGCAACCCAACATGTACCAGGAGCTAATTATTCACCAGTCACGGTGCCAACATTTGACAAGCCATCATGATAATTTAAAATGAAAAGACTCAGATCTGTGAACCTTCTAAAACTGTATCTATTACTCTAAATAGGAGTAAACATTTACCCCCAAAAAGTGGGCAGAGATTACCCATGAGCCAGAAGCATCTCCTTGAGAGTGAAGAATGTTAATTCCATTCAGAAGAAATCCATATAGCACTACTCACCAAAAGCATACACCTTAGCATCCCATCACTACGCAATTATACACAAAGCTCCCTGATTGCCTGCTAGCAAACAGGTTCCACTGTGGTTCACCTTCACCAAGGACACAAGCATTGATCTCAATTACCCTTCCATCTAAAGCTCTTGGCCCACCAATAACAATTAGACGATTTCCACATGCACGAAAGGCTAATCCCCAGCCATTCATCGATACTATCCGGTCAGGTAATCTTCCAATAGTGATCCATGAATAACTTTCTTTATCATATTTCCTTACCTCTTGTTGGGCATAATCTACAACATACAATACATTATTTACAACTGCAACCAAAGGAGGACACCCCACACCCCCCACCCTCCTTCTTCCTAAAGCCTCTTTCCGGAGGAGGATATAGCAAACTCTCTTTCATGCTCACACGCGTGCTTTGTGTGTTACTAGAAACAATTGGCAAGCATGGTAGAGAAGCTTCGATCGAGGATGTAATGAAGGTGTTGTTGGCATCTCGGAAGCAAGACATGCAGCAACTATGGGCCACTTGTTCTCACCTGGTGGCAAAATCAGGTCTTCCTCCGGAGGTTCTCGCCAAGCACCTCCCCATAGACATCGTGGCAAAGATCGAAGAGCTTCGGCTGAAATCCTCCCTGGCGCGCCGCTCCTTAGTGCCGCACCACCACCACCACCACCACCACGCTGCTCTCGACCTCTGTGGGGTGTGGGGCTGCGGGGAAGGGAAGGGGGTGTGGGGTGCGGGTAACGGGTAACGGGATGAAAATTTAGGAATTTTATTTTTTTTAAGGGTAATTTAGATATTTTATATATTTTTTTTAAAAAAGGAGGTATATTTATATGAGAGTGGAGGTGTGTTTATCATCTGCTAACTAATTAATTGATTCAATACATTTTATTTAGGCCCAATTCGAAGTAAGCCACCCGATCCCAATCATAACCAAACCATTCCAAACCTGACCTAAATCGAAAATCCAATGATAAGTTATAGGCTAATTTTTCTTTACCTTAATTTTTCTAGATTGGACCTTTTAGGCCCGAATTCGACTGAACCTACCCAATGATCAACCCCACTTTTGGTTAGTAACAGATTTTGTATTTTTGTTTTGATAGTATTGTAATGATACAACATTATAAAATATTTTTAATTTTATTTTGTATTAATGTTAGTTGTTTGAACTAATAACAATGTAGCAAGTTAACAAACTTATTTTTAAAATTTAGTTTGTATCATTATTTACTTTATGAGTTGATATTGTTGCATTTGTAATAAAATATCAAATGATTTGTATTTATTATGAAATATTTTAATTTTTATATAAAATAAATAAATTTAATTATATTTGACTCAATTAATTCAATTCAATCCAAATAATAATACACAAACCTAACCCAATTCATAGTTGAATTTTGATCAAATTAGATAACAAATTCATTCAAATTCGATCTAATCCAGCCTGTTTATAACTCTACCAAAATTAAAATTTTCAAAAATTCAAAATATAAACAATAATGATTTTGAGCTCCTACTTGTCATTATCCCATAGAATTGTCTATCTAATAGTTTTTAAACGTATTATTTTATCTAACTTATCTAATGTTTTTGTCTCAAATACCAACATCAGTAACAACAAATTGTATTATTTTATTTGTCAAATTTTGGAACTTAAAATATTAGATCTTCAACACAATACTTCATTCGTACCAAAATAAAATGAAACAATCTTATATTAGTTTTATTTTTTATTTAATTTTAAAAAAAATAGTTAACACGGTAGGCTAACACACTCAGTTACAATACAAACCTTTTTTTTTTTGTTTTTTTTTTTTTTATGAACAAGATGGGACAAATTAATGGGCTAGTGAGTTGAATACTCCCAATCCAACTACCTAAAATTAGGTTAAACCTGGCTGGCTTAATGGGTCAAGCATATTTTGCCACACAAAAAAATGGGATATATTCGGATAAATAACTACATAATTACTTGTGCTTGCCCCAATGATAGTATCGACCATAAAATGGATAATGAAATTTATCAAAATAAATTAAAATTTTATTTTGTCTAATTTATTTTAGGCATTATTTTTAAACGAAAAATGAGGCAAATAAAATTTTAAGAAAATGAGTTGTTAAAAAAGTAAATTCGTAAGAATTTAATTTAAATAAACTGACAATATAAATATGTTGAAAATATTTTTTTAATGTATATTTTAAATCTGAGAGAGTCGGGTCAAAATGATATTTACGAGTCTATTTTATATAAAGTATAACTGAGATATAATTTAATTCCATACAAATTTTTTGAAAAATCATTTCCCAAATAATCAATTGCACCCTTCACAAAAATATTTTGTCCAACGTAAAAAAATAAAATACACTGACAATTTCTAAATACAATTATTTTTCACATGATTGATTTTGTTTTTCCTATGATTTATTTATTGAGTAAACCACTTACACAAAATAGAGATTGTTTTGATAAATTTTATTAAGAAATTCATCGACATTAAATAATGCTTATAGGAGTCCCAACTCACAAGTCTTTTTTATAAGTAAATAACTCTAAAAAAATATTTATCTAAATGTCTCATATATAAGTTCTATGAACTATCCAAGTTAGGTCCACTTGAATTTTTTTTTTACAATTAGCAAATTGTTCAAGAGTTTGAGCATACTAGTTAAAGTGCTCGGATAAAAAACAATACTAGTTCAAATGCAAAACACTCCGTTTAATGAGTCCGTGAAATGAACCCAGAAAGGGAAAAATAAATAAATTTTGATTTCCTCCTTGTTATTATTCAATTGGCTTGTAAATCTGATAACATTTAATTGTATTATTTTATTTATCTTCTATTTACCCAAAAAAAAAATGTTTAACTTCTCTAATATTTTGTCTCAAATACCGATAACAATAACAACAAATTATGAGATGGACATATTTATTTTAATTAGTCATTTTTCAAAACTTAAAAATATTGGGCGTTAAACACAACACCATATGAATTTTTTACATAAATAATATTTTTTTAAAAAAAATATTACAAAAGTAACATCTATATAACATTATTTACTCAACTATAACCAATCACTGTTCATGCTCAGAATTCGGTTCCCCGGGAATCGAATTCTGAGCTTCAAATTTTTTAATTTTTTTTTGTGCTCAGAATTCGGTTCCCGGGGAACCGAATTCTGAGTTGTTTTAAATTTTTTTTCGTTTCTGGGAAGTGGAACGGGCCGTTCCAAAAGCAGAACGGCCCGTTCTGCTTAAACAAATAGAGTGTTATTTTTGAAATTGGAACGACTCGTTCTGAACCCGTTCCAATTTCAAAAATAACACTCTATGTGTTTAAGCAGACAGGCCGTTCTGCTTCCAGAACGGCCCGTTCCACTTCTCAGATTCACCCAAACTGGGCCTCAAACGCAAAAAAAAAAAACAAAACAAAACAAAATCATACTATTATGATATTCGAGGGACTAAAATTGTTCAATTAAAAATTAAAAAAAGTGGTTGAACCGATTTGACCCACCGGTTCACCGTTGAACCGGAAAATTGACCGGTTCAATCCAGTTTGAAACGGGTCGACTGCATAACCGATCCAACTCCAGACTCGGACCGACTGGACCACCGGTCCAACCGGTCCGACCGGCCGGGTCGGTCCGGGTTTTAAAACACTGGTTGTTGGTCATGTTATTGGACTTTCAACTTAGTATAAAGTCTAAAGTACAATTTTTTTTTAGTTAAAAAGACTTTCTAAAAAAAACCAAGCTTGATGTTCTTGATAAATAGGTTAGGTTGCATGTTTTCACGTCACTTGGCCCATGTCTACTTCTATCAACGGGAATTACTTCCTACACCCATCTTATTGCTTCCTGCGTGCATTATTAAATATATATAATGAGTGTATGACAAAATAAGTTGGGTGCATGATATAATATACTATTTTTTTCTCTCTCTATCTTTCACTAAAAAAATATACATAATTTGGTTGATGAAGTCATGTGAATGTTTGAGTTTATAACTTAATAAAATACCACCTTGGGTTACAATTTATTATTTTTTTTTTAGTTTTGATAATTCTTATCTATTTATATTTAATTGTCATTTTAAAATATTAATATGACATTAAATATATATTTTTTCTATTATATCCTTAGTTATTATTATTATATTATTTATCAATAAGTCATCAATATGATTAAATAAAAATCTTGAAATTAAGTGATATGAATGAAAAAATATGATTAGAAAAAAAATATATTAAAAACACTCGATCAAATCTTCACTCAAGATTACTTATTAATGAAGTCGGTGAATATAAAATTATAATTTTTAATTAATGTGATTTTTTAATAATTATAATTTTATTAATGAGAATATAAAAGATTTAAAGATATATAAAAAAGTTACATAATTTTTTTTATAAAATAAAACCTAGAGTACCATTTATGAATTAAATTGTGTGTTAGAATGTAAAACATTAAACAAAATGGGAGGATTGATATTTTAGTGGTTGAGTGGTGTAAGAATGTGAGTTACATTATCCATACAATATTTTTCATTTTACGAATGGTTTTAGTGTATTTTTCTCCAATTCCAGAAAGGGGATGCTGGTGGTTGAGAAAAAAACATTGATGATGATAATTTGATTGCATTGGATGAAACATAAAGAAAGAAAATAGTGCGGAGCTTGAAAGAGAGATAGTGAAAAGTAGGAGGAAGGGAGAGTAATAGTTACATTCAGGAGTGCTTGTGTTTGTTGGTAGTTGTTGCATAACTGTTGAGATGAAAATGAAGAAAGAGGGCGAGAAGAGAGGCGTTGAAGAGAGCATTGAAGCACCAAGCGGAGATACCGGAGCAACCGGGTCCGAAGAAGTGGTGGTGGAGCATGAGAGCGGAAACGGCGAAGCTGAAGAGGAACTGGAGAATCTGGCAGTGAGTGACGGCGCGCTTCCAGGAGGGAGGGATCCCGAGGGCGCAGAGGAAGTAGTAGGCGTACATGATGACGTGGACGGAGGCGTTGGTGAGGAGGGCGATGGGGAAGAGGGACTGGGAGCTGTGGAGCCAGAGGTAGCACATAAGGGGAACGGTGGCGTGGTGGTACACGTGGAGGAACGACAGCCGTTTCATGGAGCGTGAGAGGAGGATGAGGAGGGTGTCCAGGAATTCCAGGAATTTGGAGAGGTAGAAGATGTAGGCCCAGAAGAAGAGGGGCCCTGTGGGTTTGGTGTTGGGGGGGATGCAGAGGGCCCAGCGGAGGTGTGGAGTGTGGGTGAGGAGGGTTAGGGCGCACCCCAGGGCCATGAGGAGGGAGAGGAGGAGGAGGATGAGGTTGTGGAGGGCGGCGATGGGCTTCAGGAGGCGGGGAGGGATGGCTGGGAGAGGGAGGATGCTGAGGAGGAGAGTGAGGGACAGATATGTCAGAATGGACAGAGCCAGGAAGAGAGGGGAGGACCCTCGGGTTTCAGGGGGGTTCCATGTGAAATTCAGGATGCTACCTTGCTTCACCACCCACCACTCCAAACTCATTTCTCGATGGATAACAATTACATTCACATTCACAAACTCCTTCTCTTCATTCACTTTAACTCATTTCAACCACCCTCCTCCCTTTCCCTCTTTTAACTCTTAATTATAACTTGCCTATTACTTACCTTTTCTTCATTATTTTTTCTGGTCCCAATTAGTTATTTTTTTTAATCCTTTTTTTTTTGTCCTCCTTTGTACCGACTTCACTTTTTAATCTTTATAATTAAAAATATTTAATTTTAGCTTCAAATATCTTTTTAATTTTTATAATTTTATAAACTTTATTTTTTGTTATTGAAATCATAGACAAAAAAAATTAAAATAAATAAAAATGACACATAAAGATCAAAATAAATCGTTTTTAAATATAAAAACTAAAAATGGAAGTTTATAAAATCATAAAACACAAGTAATCATTTTTTCTTTCAACTGCTACTACGTCATCCAATCCTGGTAATTACTACACTAGATAAAAAGAGAATATGAATTTGCATTAGGAATCGGAATTGGATAAAAAGTGCCTATTTAACTCGATTCACAAATAAAGTATTCGCTAAAAAAGTGAGCTTCATTTACAATTTTATCACCGCCTTTATAATGCATCTATCAGACTGATTTTACTTCTTTTTATCAACTGTACGTTGTGATAAGATCACTGAATCGACACAAGAGTATATAAGAGCTGTATTTTTGAGTCTCAATTGAAGTTACATGGACTTGGGGGAAAAATACTCGCTCTACTTTATTTAAAAGGTTCAAAATATATAGTACAGAATCAGATAGAAAAACACAAAGGATCAATATAAGAATTCCTAACAAAATTTAAAAACAAAACCCTCCTCAAATTTTAGCTGACGTGATAAAAAAATGTTGGTCCACGAATTACCCCCTGATTTAGTAGTGGAGCAGCCAGTAAACCTCTACGGACACTCCAGAAGTAACAGACTGCAAAATTGGACCGGGACTACGTTTATATCAGGAAGAAACTAAGCAGAACCCGCAGCAACCTTCTTCCGAACAATCCTTTTTCGACGAGCTTTAGGAGCTGAAGTTTCTGCACCAGCTCCATCCGCATTCCTTTGTTTGATGCCCAGGAGCCCAAGCCCAGAAACAATTGCATTCTTTGATATAAACCATTTTGAGGATGGCTTTTCCACATTCTCAGACGTCCTGTTGTACACTTTCAAGAGATCATCTGATAGAGCCAGTGGATCTGCCTCAACTCCGAGCCAGGCACGCTTAGATGTCTCTCCTAATTGAACGTTCAAGACCCTGCATAAATTTGGAGTAAGTGCTCAAAACCAACTTCCAAAATACTTTCATCCTCTACCATATCAAATTGTTCGTAACTTCTGCTAAAACGAAGTGGTAAAACGGAGTTGACATTATTGATGAAAAATTAATTTGATAGGGAAAAAAGCACACCTGAATGCTGTGCTGAAGAACAAGGCAACTCCTATAACATCAAAATGGGTCATCATTGCTCTATCAAACCCACATAACAGTTGATATCTCAGGTTAGCATAAATTCCAAGAAAAGCACCGTAACCAAGTGCATTACTGCTCACACTTGGGACTGTCACAGATAATCTGCAAACAATTCAGACACAACATATGCAAAGATAAAATTAATATTTAGCACTTATAATTTGACCAACCATGGGTAAAACTGTAGGATTAAACAATTAAATGAATTGAAAGTTATTGAACATAAGGTTGGGTTTCAACCCTGCATACCTTCCCTCCTTTTTACTAGCCAAAGAGTTTGACAATGCACCCTGTACTGCACCAGCACTCAAACCAACCATGCACAACTCAGCGGCCTTGAACAAAAAGCATTGGATTCTCTTTTGCAAGTCGAATTCCCTAAGTGGATAGCTCTTTTCAAATATGTTGTTTGGAAGCTTCTGCAATGTATTCTGTAAATCAAACCGAAATGTGTTCCCGTATGATCGACAAGGTGCAAGGGACCAAACAACTAGTGCATTGCATGCTGCAGCTGTCAGCACATTCATAAGTGCAAGATCCCACTCCTGCTTTATCCTAGAGTCAAATTGAAGTTAATTATTACTCTAATTCACCACTAAGAACAACAGGAAAACTTTCAAATTATTTTAAATACATAACACACCTATCTTTTCGATTTTTTAACTCCCACCACACCGAGGAACCTATTGTTGCAACCTCCTCCAATAGAAACCTATACAAGAATGCGGGGTCTGCAAGCATCCTGTGCAATAAAAGATGTATGTATGAGAATGAGATAGTAGTATATACAAAAAATATACTCCAAAAAGAAAGTTCAAAGTTCAATACATTTGACGGGAATGTGGGAAAGAAAAAAAATCCTATAGCACACTTCTAGGTACAAAGGGCAAAAGTACTCTTCCAGCTCAAACTCAAATTCTCTCTAAAATAAAGTTATTATTAATCAGGGCCCAGAAAATTGAATAAGGTTCACAATGACTGTCTATATAGATAAAAAACCTTAATCCAAATTATGATCTAATTAATTACTGGAATTAAAATGAAATCCCTAAAGATAAAATAAAAATAAAAATTCAAATAATTCAGAAGAAAAAATATGGGTTATAAGTAAGGTAAAAGATTCCAAATTTTCTTATATTTGAATAAAATATAATATTTTAAGACAACCAGGACATAATTCAAATTACCTGCCAATGAATGACCTTGATAGTGCTTGAGGCAGTGTTCGGGAAATAAATCTACTGGTGGTTGGCCTGGCATTGATTGCTAGAAATTTTACCATTTGAGCTGAGCTAACCAACCCCTAAAAGCAAAATTTCAGTCAGTGTTTAGCCCTATGCTTCACAGCCTAAATATGTAAAAGTAACCTGAAAAACATGGTACCATTTCATAAGCTTGCCGAAGCCCAGCAGGCAAATCCATCATAGTCCTTTGCCACTCATTTAACACAGCATCCACAAATTTTCGGTCGAATAGCTTCAACAAAGACAAAATGATTTTCATTTCTTTAAGAAACATTAAATGAAAGCAATAAAAAGTTGTATGTTTCATAAACAGGGTAAAAAACCTATTCTTATACGAATGAATGATATTTCTAACCTCTTCAAAAAGTATCCGTCTCCTAAACAAGCCACCTTCATCTCCCTCATCACCATCATCAAAGTCATCAAAGTAATCATCATCATCACCACCATCATCACCTCCATCACCACCACCATGATTGATTTTCTTTCCAATACCTCCGCCACCTCCCCCAATGTCTAGCTGCAAACAAATGCACGAAAATGAACTCCCAAATGGAAAATACTAACAACAACAAATTTTATTCCACTAAGTGAAGTCATCTACGTAGACTGCATGGTTCCATTGAGCTTTTTTAAAACTAAATGTTCAGGAATATTATTTTAAATGTCCAGATACTAACTTAATAATAATAACATAAAAAAGAACTCAAAATCAAAATCACCACCCAGTAAATATATAGGTCGCATGCAAACAAGACTGAAAATTTACAAACAGAATTCAAACCAAATATTATTATCAAACAAAATATTGTCATTTTATGCATTCAGAATCAACAACCTTAAAGGAGTCCTGCATAACATTACCCACAGACTAGTCTAGTTCTGTATAGATTCTTGTTACAAGTTAATAAGTTGAGGGTATAATCTAGGAGGAATGCAAACATTTTCTCTCTATAACTTCTGGTGAGAAGATTATGCAGCTAAAAATTAAATATTAATAGAAGATAAGATACAAAGGGAGGGGACAACAGCAAAAAATGGAAACTCAAAAATTAGCTAAGAATTCAGAAAAAAAATATTCACATTTTCCAACAATCAAGCACATCAAAGAAGGAGAAACTATATTGATTAATCAGTTAACTAATTTCTTTGTAAAATATTTTTTCTATTAAAGATAAAATTATTTTAAACAATGATAATTAGATTATTATCTTTTAAAACTTTTAGCTTTCAAATAAGAAATTCTGAACACGCTATCGCTGATGTCGGATCATAACACATGGTTCTAGGCATAATTATTAATCTCAAATAGCAGTGCATAGCAGCTAACACTGAAAGTGCTATTGCGGGAGATGATCGCTATCTTAAATTACAATATAAGTTAAATAATGTATACTACAAATAAATACTCAAAACTAAAGAAATTCATGATAAATGATAAGTCAATTTACACACACAATCACCATGAATCTAAGAGAAATAAAATCATAGTAATGAAGTAAAAAAGGAAAGATAATGGTGAATTAATAGAGAAAGAACAGAACAGAGGATAAAAAACAGTCTTATAATGGGTGATGCAATAGAGATAAAAAAATAAAAAAAATAAAAGAAGAAGAAGAAGAAGAAGAAGAAAAAGGTAATATTGACTACTAAGGTTCTAGGCTCTAGCACAACACATGTAACCAAAGAGGACAGCAAAAGTGTTATTGAAAAGACCAACGTGATCTTGATATTTCTTGCATGTAATTTGGTAATCCTTTATGCTAATAATGTTAAGCCAGTATATAACTAAGTTCTTCAAACACATCTTCTTCATCAGTAAAGGTGAAAGTAATAATAGACACTATTAGTATTGGACATATAAAAAATAATAATTAATGTTATTATTTCTCATACAGATGATAATCCAATTTTGAATATTCCTAAAACAAATATTGGACACAGCAAATTAGTGAAAGTAAAACTGTGAGATAATCTTCTATCAGAAACTCTTTCCATCCCCAGTATTTTCGCATGTAATTAATATTTAGTCTAACTTAATTGTAAACATCGAAACAACACAACTAAAACATTCATCCACAATTCAGCGATAAAAAAACATGACAACCACAGATTAAGAACTAAACCCTAATTCCACCAAAAAAAAAAAGAGAAGGGAGTTACCTCGGGGCTTGACTTGGTTTGTTTCTGTGTCAAATCGAGCTTGGATTTTTCCAAGGTGACGGCGCCAAGTGCACCGTATTGGCCGCCCTTCATGGAGGGCGATTGGGAAGCGACCGGCGCTTTGAAACAGCGCTCGAGGTGAGAGGCGGTGTCGGCTTCGACCCCGGAGGATGTCGAAGCGGTGATTTTGATAGTTTCGACGGCCGAAGTTGAAGATGGCGATCGCAGGACAGAGACGCGGTGGCGGTGGAGCGTGGGGAGTGGGTTAAGGGGCGATTTGGCCCCGACATGATTAATCTTGAACTGAGAGAGTGCGGGAAGCATGGTTGAGTGGAAATGAAAAACCCTAATAGAAGAGGAGAATCCTAATTGTGTGAGTGAATGGTTGTTTTCATGACTCTGCAGTGGGAGAAACTGAAGAGGGGGCTGAGGGCATACAGAAAGACGAATGCAAGGAAGAAGAAGAGGACAACCCAATCCAAAACCCAATTCTTTTCTGTTATTTGTAACCCACTGAGTTCACTCGCCCTCACTCAGCCCCAATTCTTTAATCATCATTGTCCACAAATTTTGTTATATTTGTAAATTGTAATGAAAGTGTTATGCTAAAAAAAATCAATTCCTGGTGTCAAAAAACATTAAGTCTAAGTTAGAAAAATAATATATTTCTATTGAGTTTAGGACAATTAATTTTATTTTAATAATATAGAGAGGAGGTACATAAATATGAGATGAAAGTAGGTTAGATTTTAAACAATAACTTATAATTTATCTAGTTTAAAGCCTCAACTATCATAATATATTTAATAAAAATCTAGATTTAAACTTTTATAAAAATATATTTATTTAAAAAAGATTAAATTTAAATTTATAAAAAAAAATTAAATTAATCTATTTATTTATAATTTATTTATATATATATATTAATAATATAAATAAATAAATAAAACTATAATATAAAAAAATCAAATTATCGATATTTTTAACATTTTTATAACACTTAAACATTTACAAAATTAAGAAATCAAAATAAAAATTCTCACAATCATATTTTTACATAGTTTTTTTTTCTTTCAATTAAGATATAAAAAAAATTTAGAATTTTTTTTTTAATAAAATTATCTTTTTTATTTTAAAATGTGCATTAGTGCACATGGATATGTATGAGTTTTTTTTATAAAAAAAATTAAATTCAAAATTTTAATATTAATAAAATAAAATATTTTTTATCATACAAAATAAATCTACTTAAAATTAAATTTATTAACTTATTTAATATTATTAATATAAAATAAACTTTCAAATACACTAATAAATTAGACTAAAATTTTTAAAATAATAAGACTATGATTTATTTCATTCCTATACTTTACATCTTTATATATTTATTTATAAAAAATAAAAATAATAGAATTCAGGTGATTTACAATAAAAAAGATAAGTGATTTTGAGTAATCATAAAAGTAAAATACTTTATAGATATATATAAAAAAAAATATAACAAAATGAATATAAACATGTTCTTTTAAACTCAAAACTTAGTTGATAGTTTTATTATTACAAGAGCGTTAAAGTTGTACGCTGGCAGTTACGAATTCAATTTCATTTCATGTATTCATGTTCTTATTTCAAATGAAATACAATTATTTCGTGTAGAAAAAAAAACTGCAATTGATTTATTTTTAAAAAGAAAATGTCACGAATATTTTTTTTATGATAATATTATGAGTGCTTAATATTGATTTTTTTATATAAATATTTTCCTTATTTATCAAAGCAATAACAATTCATTTTAATTATGACACTAGTTAAATGAGATTTTATTTTTATTTTTCTAATCAAAACCTAATTTATAAATTAAAGTTGGTATAGTTACTCAATTGATTTATAATGTTTTTGTTACTTTTTAAATATGTTCTTAAATTAAGAATATTTTTAATTAGGTTTTTAATTATGTAATTTTTAATTGAATTTTTCAGATTTAGTTTTATCAATCTACTGTTTCTTGTGGTGGCAGGATTAAACTTTAAGTACTCAATATAAAAAAACTAATAAAAAATTCAATTAAAAAATAGTTTAAAAATCTACTTAGAAATTTTTATATAGTTTCAACAAAATCTTGCAAAAATCTCATCATTGTTTTTACATACCCTAAATTCAATCAATGTTTTAAGATGTTTAACATGATTTCCTGCCATTATTTTTGTATGTATGTTTTTAATAAATTGAGTCATTAAACATTAAACATTTAATTAAAAGTAGACCATAAAATTATGAATTTTATTTGCTCAGTTGTTAGTCGTTAATGGTTCAATTTCAATTAAATGATCTCTTAATTTGTTCTACACTTATTACAACACTAATCCCCACAAATTTTGATTCAAAAGTTAATTAGTATCATTTTATGAACAGTTAAACATCATGACATATTTTGAATAATTTTATTCAATTATGTATTATATTGTTAATAATATAATTTCAATTTGTTTAAATAAGACTATTTGAAGTTGAATACAAGAACTCATGAATATGATAAACCAAACTTAACAATAATAATTGTCTATTTGATTGAGATGTAATAAAAAAATATTTTTTTATTTTATTTTATTATTACAACTTGTAGAGAAGGTATGTACTATCTCTTAACTTTTAATATACATCTTTCTTGATTTATTTATTATTGCTATGGACAAATCATTCATAAAAGGAACCTTAATACATAAAAATATTTTTCTTGATTTATAACTCAAATAAAATCGATTTCCATTGTGAAGTTTATTTAATTATTGCTGAAGCGTGAAGTTTACTGTCATAAACATTTTTCTATTTTTTTTTTCAAAATCATCACTAGAAAAGAAAAGAAAAATGTTGAGTTAATAGAAATTCCTTCAATTTTCTGTACTTTCATTTTTCAAATGTAAACCAGAATATTGCAACCATGAAAGAATCATGGAAAAACACCACTTTGCATTTTTATTTAAAAAAACTAGAAACAACCATTTCTAAAACATTTTGGCAAGTTACACCATTGTGGCTCTTTTCAGAATGTATACTTCTAAATCTGAGATAAGGTCAACAAGTCTCATACACGAGTATGGACCCATCCACCAATAAATTGATGGGTAGCAAAAATATGAAAACAGGATTTTCACCCTCTTGGTATAACAAATTAGAAGTTAAACTATAATGAAAACTTTACCTCACTTGATGGGTATCTTAGGATTATATAACAAAACAAAAACTAGTTTATAAAATAAAGAAAACCAAATTGAATTATAAGATGAAGTAAATTCTTTGCCCACAAACTATAAGATGAACTATAAAACAATGCAGTAATAATATCATGGCAACAGAAGAAGATCTGAAACAACTTATAATTACAAAACAATTTAGAGCAAATTAAAAATGAACAGATAGAACATAGAGCTCGATCAAAACTAATGTAGCCATCTTTTTGGCAAATTAAGCTTAAAAAAGATTTAAAAGTTTAGAAAATAACAATGTGTCAGCCATTAGAGAAAAAATATAAAAGAAGGAAAAAAAAATAATAAAAAGAGCGAAGAATATCAACATGCTTTGTATGTATCTAGCATGGAACAAAGTCAATGCTTTTTGTTTTAATTTTAAAAATAAAATAAAAATAAACATTTCAAATGAGGTTACTGTTACCTGAAGTTTAGACCGACATTATCCAAAATTCTATTAAATAGTTTCTTCTAATGAAAATTGCTTTATACACAAAAGGGAATAGGTAAATTAAAGGAGAGTGTTTCTTTTTAAGAACTTTCACATTTATAGATATATTTTTTTTATAAAGAGACTTTTTTCTTTCTTATAATTTTATAGAATCTATAATTTGTTATGATTGTTAAATATTTATGTGAACAGTTGAAATTGTATTATATTCATAATTTTATGATATTAAATAAATGATATAATAAATAATTTTTCATAAAGTAAAATTATATTTTTAAATTGTCTAATTTTTTTTATAAAAATAATAAAAATAGATAAATTATTATGTCATTTATTTAATGTAACGTTGTAATTTTAAAATTTCCTAAACTTAAAAAGAATTTTATATTGATGGATAAATATTTTATAAAATTGAGATATTTAAAATCATTTAAAAATTGGAATTGTAAGAATCCGAATTCTCTCCTATATAAGCATTTTTTCCATCACCCATTTATCATTTGGCCTCTCTTTACTTTTTCTTCAAATTTCCGCTAATTTTTATTCTCTTCACTCTGCATCTGTTTCTTCATTTATTTTGTGCGCTGAAGAGGCAGGAGAGGATCTAATTTTGCCTTACTTTGCATCTAGGATTGCTATTGGGGCATCTACAATAAGAAAAGCTGGCTGTTATCCATTGATATAGTATTGCATGACAAAGTAAACCAAAAGCTAACTTGTGTAACTTGCCATTATCTTTCAAGTATCCTTTGCCTTGTGAAGAAAAGCAAGCATGTCATTAGATGAACCAAAGCAAAGATCAACAGCAACAACAAAGGCAAAGGAATCCCTTTCTTGTGCCTCCAATCCAAGGCCATCCCTCTCACGAATGCACCCTTTTTCTTTTCTCCTTCATGAAAACCAAACCACATATAAGTATTTCTTGCTTCTTCCTCAAAACACAACCACCTTTTCATCCCAACACACATGTCTCAGACAGGCCGTCCTCGTATTGTTGTGAACGGTGTTCGAAGAACAAGAACTTTCCACTATTTCTGGTGCCTATATTGCCAGAGAACCGTGAGATTACCCTTCACAAACAATGATATTGGTTCTTTGTGCCCCTATTGCTTCCACCAACTTCGCTATGAGCTTGATATCTCAAGGCCAAGGCTTCTCATGAACGTGCCAAATAACTTGGAACCTTCACCAGCCACTCAACTCATGCATGGCTTGGCCCTCATTCTTGATCCACCTTTAAGGAGGCAAAACAACACAACCACTACACAATGGCAAACAGAAGAAAATGATGGTAATTCAGATCCTCAATGGATTACACTCAGATTTTCAAGACCAACTCGTCCACCTAGGCCTATTTCCCCACCACAAAACTTGGTTCCAAATACCACTCACACTCTTTTTGATGAAAATAATAACACACTAGATGAGTTCATTGATGGGGTGATTCAGAACAATAATAGGCCAGGGCCACCTCCAGCAACATCCTCAGCCATTGCTGCATTGCCAATGGTGAAGCTGACACAAGCACATTTGGCGAGTGACTCCAATTGCTCTATTTGCAAAGATGAGTTTGAGCTTGATATGGAAGCTAGAGAGTTGCCATGCAAGCATTTCTATCATTCTGAATGCATCGTTCCTTGGCTGCGCATGCACAACACGTGCCCTGTGTGCCGCTATGAGCTACAAGGTGTTGATAGTGCTAATGCTAATGTTAATTACCGTTTCCAAAATGAATATGACCTGAATTTTGGGCTTGAGGATGTTACAAGCAGCTTCGTCTGGATTTGGAACCAACTAGCTTCCTTCAGGCCTATTCGTTCAGTTCTAGATTGGACACGTTCCTACTTTGATTTCCAAGAGAATCGACTTCGTGGTCGTGGAGGTAATCAAAATCTAGGATAAAACAATGTTTCACTTACAATCTTAAATTGTTGTCTTGGTATTTTTTTTCCCACATGATTATGTGAAATAATTTAATGATCATTCAGCAAAATGAGCTTTATATATGCCTAAGGCTGACAAATGTGTTAGGTAACTGCAGGTATTTCTTGGTGGCGAGCATTGTTCGTTATATAGCTGCTTCATCTGTGAGATCTTATACTGAAATTAAACCTGATTAATTGTATTAGAATACTATTCCACTATTAAGCAGGTAAAAGTTGCAGAGCACTTCATTTCAAGATAACGGATGAGAGACACAAGATCTGGTGTGCCCACAAGTTCTGTTTGAAAAAAACATCATTTCTTGGTGAAGAACTGCATTTCAAAAGGAGATCTTCACCTGTGTCCGGATTTTTATTTATTTATTTATTTATTTTTAATCTTCTCTGTGCCCATAAATCTCTGAATGTTTGCGTAATTCCTTTGCCAACTTTCTGGCTTTGGGCATGCTATAAGGTGCAAATTATGGTTCCATTAAAATTTAGCAGATAAAACAAAAAAAGCCAAAAAGAAACAAGAAAAGCCATTTAATCAATTTATTGAGGAAAAAACCTAATCGTTATATATATAATTTGTGCGTGTCATGTAACAAAAAGCTACACTATAAATATGATGCCGTGCATAAATATTAATATAAGATTGGTTTCTCTGTTATGTGATGTGTGATGTGATAAGACGATTAATGCATACACTGCACATATCTCCACAAGTTTTAGATTGCTTTTATTTTTCAGCTGATTATTTATTTACTTGTAAAATTTATTTATTTATTTTATAAGAAAACTTATGACAAAAAAATGTAAGTAAACCTTTATTGTCACCTTAAATTCAATAAAAGAAAAAGAAAATGAAAAGGAAACCGGTGGCAGAAGCAACATAGATGGTGGTAGTTTGCGAAAAACTTTGTTGTGTTGTTTCTGAACTCTGAAGTGTAAAGAGAATGGTAGGATTGAGTGTGCCTCAGCCATTTCTGTCACCGGTTTGCAAGGCAGCTCCTTACCCACTTGATCTCATCGCCACCGCCGCCTGCTTCCACTTCGGCCACCTTCTCCGCCGCCGCGCCACCCACCATCTCCGCCTTGGGCTTCTTCTTCATTCCTGTTTCAAGGTCCCTTTTTGTTTATCAATTTAATTGCAAAAATTGGGAGTTGGGTTTGATTGAAAATTTCAAATTATTTATCTTTTCCTCAGTTATGTTATGGGAACCGATTGGGATGGAGGTCACAAGCATCATATCGTTTCAAAAAGGTTTAATTTTTGTAGAATTTCGTTTGTTGTGATCATGTGGCGTAGTTGATCCTCCTGTTACTGGAATCGTTCTACTTTCGATGCTGATGGTGGTTGTATGAAATAGGTTATGCCCTTATGGTGTTTGAGATGTGTACTCGATTTTTTATCACTCATTAAAGTGAACTTGCTCTGTTCTGGTAGATGAAGCCTTATCTTGTGGCTTCTCAATTTTTTTAATTTTTTTTTATGTATATCATGAATTTGGACATTAATCAGAATTTGGTTTTTAACCGAATCCAATGAATGTGCAATTCATGTAGTTAAGATTGTTGTATGAATTTGGGCATTAGGTTTATTGTTTTGATATGTGGAAGTTTTCCCTGACTCCACTTTCCCCTTTTCTGAACAGAAACTAGCTCCTTTAACTCATGTGTTTAGATTGAAGGATAAGTGGTGTCAGACATGCCTTCAGCTTAATGAGTTGAATTATCTTCAGCAGTCAACTGGTGATTTGACTTCCTCATGTTCAACTAGTTTCTCTTTCTTTAATGGGGGAGGACATGGAGGCCGCTTTGGAAATGCCGGGATGTCCAACTCCAAGAAGTCTGGAAAAAATCCATTTCATGGAAGGAAATGGACAGATATTCTCCTTGCCGCCAATGTTTTGTGAGTATTAGCATATTTCCTTGAATGGTCTTAAGTTTGTGACTTATAGGTATGCATATGTTTGTGAGCTTGTAAATTCCAGCAGGTTGTACAATCACTTTTGGTTCTTTATGTTGCTTTGGATCTTTTCCGATAAACTTCTCTCTAAACATTTATGAGAGGAGAAAATAAAAAGGAAAAATGAAATTAGTTTCTCCTTAAATTAAAATCAGCTTATTCACAAGTTAAAAAACTTATTATGGAGAAGTTAATGTGAGTTTTTTTTTTTTTGAAATTAGCTTATGTTATACGTAAACTAATTTTAGTTTTTGGAAAAACTTGTATCATTTTTCTTTTTTATTTTTTTCTCCTAGAAGTATTGATGAAGAATTTTATCTAAACAAACTCATTATCTAATGTTACTAGCTGATGTTATACTACTTTAGCAAATTTACATACAACTTGGCAAGATGACTCATTATTAACTAATTATTTCCACAGATTTTATATTGCACAACTTGCAACCCAAGGCAAGCTATTATTGTGGGGAGCGAAGGTAACTTTGCAAATAAGAATATGAATATATGTCCTAAATTTTGTGGAGTCCTTACTTGTGTGCTGTGTATGTTACCAGATAAACAGTCTCATTGACAAAGGACAACTTTGGAGACTTGCCACATCTTCCTTTTTGCATGCAAACGTTGGACACCTTTTGGTCGGGTTTGAATTAGTTGTTTGAAGTTTGTTTGTTATGCCTGGTTTTCTTAATCCTAAATTACTTCAAATTCTCTGCAGGTAAATTGTTATTCCTTAAATTCAGTTGGTCCCACTGTGGAGAGCTTCTGTGGTCCTCGAAGATTTCTTGCAGTTTACTTTATCTCCGCAATTGCAAGTAACTGCTCATATTCTTTCTACCATAGCCGATGATATTGCTTACCTCCAAGTATTCTAATTCTTTAAGAAAATCAGGTTCTGCTACGAGTTACTGTTTCTGCAGAATGCCTGCAGTAGGTGCATCAGGAGCGATTTTTGGACTAGTAAGTTCTTTCATTATTTTATTTGTCACAAATTTTCTGTACCATGTGCCTTATAGGTGAGGTCTGAGGTGTGTTTATTGTTATACTCGTATATAGATATGACCTAAATTGAAGTTAAATGGTATGCAATCTAATTTGTAGTTTTGACTGAATTTACATTTTACATGCTTAGTTCCAATTGTTACTGTTTCTTTCACAATATCTTGCTCTTTATTTCCAAGAACACTCACCGTGTATCCACCTTAAAAAGATAGGGTAAAATAATATAGTAGTTGACAACTTGACTCAATGGAATGACTGTTGAAGAAGCTGAGGATTCACCCTTGTGGTCTTCAACCCCGGTCATCCTTTTATTTTTTACTTTTATTTTTTCCCAATACCCATCTCTCTCAGACAAATGCTTATCTTGGTTTGAAGATGTCCATATAGAGAAGGTAGAAAACTGACATGTTGCTCTTTTTTGTTATTATCTTTTATTTCTGAGGAGTTGTAATGATTCAGGTTGGATCGGTTGCTGTATTTGTGTTGAGGCACAAAGACATCGTGGGAGGTGGTAAAGAAGGTTTACAGCACATAGCACAAGTAATTGTCCTCAATATGGTAAGTGTTTTCATTCCTGGCGTTAGCAGAACTGAAAGGTTTTTAGTGTCCGAACTACAGGAGATTTAGACAGTTCTCGGGTGAATGAGTTATTACTCATCAGTTAGGGTTTATTTTCTCATTCCCTTAGTAAATGATCTCTAATCACTTCTGATTCTGCTAAATTGTTGCTTTTACATTAATATGTGCTCTTAATTAACCAGTAAGCAACAGGGTATTTGCTAGAATTTTGTGTACAAATCTGCTTGTATAATGATGTGTTGTATGCTTGTATAATGATGTGTTATATGCTTCGTTAAGCAACTGTGTTGCATGCATACGGGTACGGTAGTAATGGTACCGTACTGGTTATGGGTATGGGATACGTGAGTTTTCAAATCTAGGGATTAATGTAATTTAAAAAATTATATTTTTAATTATATAAATCTAAGTAAATTGTATAAATGTTAAAAAAAAAATCACAAATAAACAGGACACATGATTATAATATCATTCTTAAACTATGATATCACACTTTAATTGTGATATATCACATTTGAGGGGAATGGTTGATATGCATAATATTTTTACTTTCTTGATAATCTTAAATTGAGAATCTTGATTTTATTTCCATGTTTAAACAGAAATGTAATTTTTTAGGAATCATTTTTATCCCACTTTCCCACAAAAATTCTCATGGGTTAGAAATCCAACTTTTCCGAATTAGGAAAAAAAATTTATGGATATAAAAGATCATAGTCCTTTTTTAAAATAAAAAATCTCTCTCTTTCTCCCTCATATTTCTCTTTCTCTTTCTGTTTCTCTCACTCTCACTCCCCCTCTCTTCCTCTCTCTCTCTATCTCTCTCTCTCTTCTTCTATTTCACTTACTCCCTCTCTCTGTCTCTCTGATTCTCTCTACCCCTCTCTCCCTCTCTCTCTCACTCTCACTCTCCCTATCCCTCTCCCTTTCTCTCTCCCCTCTCTCTCTCTCCCTCCCATATCTCTATTTCTCTCTCTCTTTCTTATATCTAATTATTTTTTTAATCTTGTCAATTTTAATAATATTATTAAAGTCTGATTTATTTTTATAGTTTAATGGTATTTGTTAACACTTATTTATTTATTTACATTTTTTTTATTTGAATGAAATGAAATAATATATTTTTATACTTGTTATTTACTATATAACATTTATTTTTTTATTTTTTTTGTTGAATTCTATATTTTAATAATTTTAATTGTAAGTTTTCAAAATAATTTGGTGTCATATTTGTAATAAAATTTGAGTAAATAAATATATCTAATGAGTTTATTTTAATAAAGAATATTTTTTGTAAAAAATATTTATATATTTAAGAATATATTATTGTAATCAAACATGAAAATCTTTAATTCTCATAAATTGTATATGAATATTCCCATAAACATTTATGAGTAATCAAACAGATTTTAATTATTCACATAAAATCACAAATCATGATTCACAAGATTTGTAATTCACGGGATTTGTAATTTCCAAGAATTGTGATATGTATGAAAAAAATTCTCCCCTACTAGATGCCCCCTAATAGTTTCAATCTCTTCTTTTCCTTGTCCCCTACTAGATGCCCCCTAATAGTTTCAATCTCTTCTTTTCCTTGTCCATCATCTATGAAAAGAAGAATTGTTTCTAACTTTGGTTCATCAAGAGAAAGAGTAATAACTTCAAAAATCTCAACTCATTTGAAGGGGTTGACATTTTGTATCCCACATTTTGCTCTCACTCTGAGTATAACTCTTGCTTTTTCTTGACAAGAGACAAAGATCTGTATGTAAAAAACCTAAATATTTAGCTCTTTTAAGATTAATCCTATTTCTTTTCACATAATGTATAAAAGAATATGTGTTCTAATTTCTCTCACAACAAGAAGATGGTGATGGTTGTGAGAGAAGTTTCAATGCAACAGATTGAATTTTGGAGAATGTTGAACCATACTAAAATATAAAAATTGTATTGTAAAAACATCAACAATGAGTTGAACAGATTAACATGAAAACATCATATAGTTGAATAGATTATTTTGGACATTGAAGATTAATTAGAAGTACATATGGTGAATGAAAATGTAGACGAGTTGTTTGTTGTGTGATGTTACTCTTGGATGGAAATTGAGATTTGAAAACAAATAAAAATAATAAAAAATCTAATTTTTTATTGACATATTTAGATTTTATTTTTTGGACTTAGGTACTGGCTTAATACGCACACAAAAAGTACTCATTTGTACCCAAATTAAGTACCTACTTTTTTTTTATAAAAAGAAATGTTTTGGGTACATATTAGCTACGTATCCACAAGTATCCAATTAGTACTAGGTATGGGTAAGTACAAGGGTAAGTAACTAGTATGTGTATGACATGAATTTTCGAGTACTCATGCTTCAGAGTTAAACAATGTGTGCTGGAGAAGAGTGGTGTTGTTTCATGCAATGTTGTGTAGGAACTTTTTCTACCTTCAACTTACCAATGGGACTGAGCTGTAGAAGGGTTACTGTTACTGTTACTGTGACCTACTTTTCTTGTTCTTGTGTTCTAATGATGATGACATTTCTCGTGCAGGTTATCGGACTATTGTCCACTGGGATTGACAACTGGGGACATGTAAGTATAACATTGCTTTATATATCTCATTTTCATCTTAGACTATGTGCATATATATGTATTCAAAAATGAATAAACCATCAATTTGGCCAGGAGAATGACTCTCTTTCCTAAATAATATTCTTTAGACTACTGAAATTATATATGTAGTGTCTAAAGTGTTAGAAATCATGCAACATAATTTTTCAAGTATTAGAAAATTCTTCAAATTAATCCCTAGTGTTAGTAAAATATATCAACCCATGGACTAACTTGATGAATATTCAAAACTTTAAGAACTATTTATATAATTTCTTTAGTTTAAAGACTATTTAGGAGAATGACATTTCAGGGACTAGATTGATTGTTCTTTCATTCAAAAATAGTACATCAGCTTTATATTCAGTGCATAACTATCTTATTTTCTTTAGTAGTCCTTGGTGTGATCTTGATGTTCAATTTTAATAATTAATCCATCTTAACCTAGGTTTAGTTTCTTTTCTATTGCTATTGCAATTGCTTTCTTTAACATGTTACGTTCCAGTTTGGAGGCTTTGTTGGTGGAATTGTTGCATCATGGCTTATCGGACCGGCATGGAAATTTGAATCTACGTCAAGGGATGGAAGGAGACTTTTCATTGACAGTGCACCAATGTATAAACTCTTCAAGATTAAAAGAGTACCTAAACAATGGAAATAAAACATTTTATTATGTATGGAATGGAACTCATAATAAATAACAAATTAGTACTCTTTGTTAATTTGTAAAATGATTCACACTGCTATAAGCTTCTCTTAAAATATTTAGATGGTGGGTTGCAGTACTATTATTCGATACCTCTAGCATTTTGTATACTAACAATTATTTACACAGATACTTTATTTGTGAATTGTAATTGAGTTTTTTTATTTTTATTTTTAATTTCTCCCCTTTTATGTTGCGACAAGGGATTTACTTGTATTTATTTCAAATTTTTAACTATTTCATTGAGTTAGGGCTTGGTAGACTCTACTTCGTTGATGACCTAAGAAATGAGATATTGGTAAGATTCGAAGTAACAGTTATTTTTATTTATTTATCTAAAAGTAAGTTTCAACAAGCAACTTAATAATAAAAAACTTATTAAAGCTGTAGATCACTCCATCCACTTTAGTTAAGATTACATAAATGATATAATAATGAATCATATTTAATCACTCCAGCCACTTTGACTAGAGTAATTAATTTTTTTGTCATAACTTTGAGAATTGCTTAACCCTTTTATGCTTAGAAAGTAACATGGAGATAGTTGATGGAAAATTAAGACCTAATGATAGTCTAATCAAGTATTTTAGTCATTTTTTTTATTTGTACCTAAGACACTTCATATTTTGTGTTGCAAGATATAAGTTAGTCCATCTATTTACAAGACATTGACTAATATCTTGCTCTTTCTAAAAAAAAAAAACAAAAAATTCTTAATATAACTTTTAAAATTATTTCTTACATAATACTAGGAGAATTAAGATACCTTATATCTCTATATTTTATTTAAAGAATTAAAAATACATAAATAATTAATGTTTGTTGGTTTAATTGATGTTGTACTTGATTTTTAATTCTCAATGTTTCAAGTTGAAATCTTATATTTGATAAAAAAAAATTATTTTTAATTTTTTAATAATAAAAAAATATAATAATCTATCAAATGGGAAAAATAAAATAATTACTGAAAGAAATATTTTCTTTATATTCTCAAAATCATCTTGAAAGTTGTTAATAGATTGATAGACAAACTCTCCATCACTCTTTTATTTATTCTATTCATTATTTTTTCACAAATATTTGAAGCAAACACACATCTATTTAGTAAGACTTCATTAATACTAAATTATGTTATTTATTTTAGCATCAAAATACTTATGTCAGATCAACAAAATCTTTAAAATTTTGTTCTGTCTAAATTATTTATATTTTTTTAATTAATATTCTTATACCCAATTTTATCTTCACAATGTACTCACACATATATGCATGTGTAATTAATTAATTTTCATAACATTATTTTATATGAAAAAAAAAAGAGAAAACTGTTAATTTATTTTTAAAATAACTTCGTCTAATTTTTTATAGACATAATTTAATTAAATATTAAAATATATTTTCTCAATTAATTTTTTTTTAAAATCTTTTAAATTTTGCTTCATCTTAATTGTCTATATTTACTCTAATTAATATTGTTGCATCTAATATTATCTCCATAATTTACTTGTACATATATGCACTTATATAAGTATTTTTCATATTATAATTTTACACAAAATAACTTACAAGAAAAAAATAATTTATTTATATTTTATCTTTAAAATGATTTTATTTAATTTTTTATAGACACATATTTAATTAAATATTTACATATTTTATAAAAAAAAATTAAAATAAAATCTCTTAAATTTTGTTATATCTCAATTGTCTACATTTTCTCTTAAGAGTTATGCTACACAGTCCGTTTATCGTCCGAAATTTTAAAATATTAATATTTTATAATAAATTTATTATAAAATAATTATTTAATTAAATATTTTATAATTTAAATCATTATTTTAATGTTTGGGAACGAATTCGGCACACTCGGGACACGTTACTAGTCTTATCCTTTCGCCTTCGGTTTCCTCTTCTCATCAACGTCTTCTGTGAGTCAGACATTCCATTTTCTCTCTTTTTTCTTCTCGCATTACTACTCTGTTTTCATCTTTTTATCACTTGCAAGCAACCTTTCTCAAGGTATTATTATTATTATTATTATTTTCATATTACATATAAGTAATGTAGTTCTATTCCATTGGTGTTTGGTTGCAAAGAATGTCTTTGTTTTTTATGAGTAATAGAAGAATGAGGGAAATAATGCCCACAAAATCAGACACAATAACCCCATTGTGATGCATTTTAAATCCTTCCAACTTCCATGTTTAGAATATTTAAAGGGTGCATTGCATAAACCCTAAATTTCATCGCTTTCTATTTCCTTCCGCTGTTTGTCTTTCAACCCTCGGACATTTAACCCATTCCATTCTCTCTTTCTCTCTTTCAATCATAAATTAACTGGATTCCCGTTTGAAGAAATTTTATTACTTTGTCCTTCAATTGAAAATTATAAATATATTCTTAAATTGTATTGTGAATCCTATTTACTGTTTCAGGTGAATGTAATCCACACCACTCATGGATTTGAAAGGAAATCTTATAATGAATAGTGGGTATAGTGATAGGAGATTTCTCATTGAATTCATCATCACTAACTATTTGGGACCTGATGTCAATTCACATAGTCCAAGGTGCTCTGTTGTTCAAAGACTAATGACCGGATCCCCACCTTATATCTTGAGTGATTTGGGGCCCTCGTATGTTAGCATTTCTTTCTTGGAGAGATTGTATTATTATCTCCTTAGAGATGCTTTTCCTAACCTTGTCTTGGATCTTAATATGTTTCATATGTATTTAAAGGGAAAATTAATTTTGCCCGGTTCTGACTTCACCCAGGACACTCAGCAGTTCACCAGTTTTTTTCCTTTGGATCTTCATCAACAGATATGGTATCCTGATAGCTTCAGAGTTATTAAAGGGGTTGTTTTAATTGATGATCCTTCTACATCATGCATGATAGGAGAGGATTTAAATAGATTCAGGTCTTTAACTGGTATCAGCACTCTCAAGTTAAATATAAGTGAATGTCTAGGTTTTCAACTTGGTCATCCATCAAGCAAGAAAGGTAATCAAATGAACAAAGTGCCAGAGACTATTCCAAATGGGGAATCCCAATTGAAAAAAAATCATCAAGAGCACAAGAGAAAGTATGTCGATGATACAACGCCACTAGTGCCGGAATTTCCCTATGTCTTCCCTACAAAACATAATGCCAAGGTAGATCCTTCCAAGAAAACGAGCAAATCTGATGGGCCAACATTGATGCCCCTTCTCTCAATTCCTGACATTGATGAATGCAGTCTAGATTCTTCTCTTATTTTAACAGGGACAGCCAGAAAAGGGCCATTTGGTCCATCTGTTGGTGTTGTGGATATTGGTATTAGTAAAGGGGCATACTTATTCCGAGTTTCTTTACCGGGGGTCAAGAAAGATAGCAGTATGTTTCTCTTTTTATTAAATCAAGTTTCCTTTTCCTTTCTTTTTTATTATTGCCTTTGATTATCTGTTAGAAGGGTTCTTAGCAACTTTATTAGAAATGGAGATGGCTGTTTGATGCATTACTATAGAGCCCTTTCTATCTTTGTCAAAAGTCATGAATATAAACTGAGTGCCAGTAGCTTGCTTTTGTCACGAGGTCATAATTGTTCTGTCAGTAAAGAATTTGTTTATTCGGGAAATTCTACGTGTGATCTTTAGAACTGCAAAAAATAACTAGCACTTCAAGTTTTTGTACATGTTATGAATTCTTTTGGTATTCATAGTTGTTATGAATACTATAGACGTTTATGTATATTAGTCAGAAGTCATGAATATTAACTGAGTGCTTGTAGCCTGTTTTTGTCAAGAGAAATGTTAGTAATACTCTCTATCACACTCTTTTAAACACTTTCTAATTGGTTGAAATTTTTTGAAAAACACAATTTTGTGGGTCTCACATCGTATTTAATGACCCCCTTCCTGATTTTTAATAAATTTAAACCAATGAGAGTGAGTGTGTTAAGAGAAGTGTTGCTAACACTCCTCTTTTGTCAACAAATCATAGTTGTTACAAATTTGGAAAATTTTATGAGTAGTGCTGTTGAGAACTGCAAAAAATACTTAGCACCTTACACAATGAGGATAAGCCTAGGTAGTGAAGATCGTAGGAGCTGGTAATGTTATGTATTTTTTTAGTATTGGTGAGAAGTGAGAACAGCTATTCATGGCATGTCAGTGGTGTAGGAAGACCTTCAATAAGAATATGAAGTTTTATGCTGTGAGATTTCTTTTAATATGTAAAAACGTTCAAGAACGGCTAGTTCTTGCAATGAACATGATATTCTATTGTTGTGAGCTTCCTACTACTAGGAATTCGTTTTACCTTAAGATAGTGACGTGGTTGAAATGTGACAATTTTCAAATGCATGTGGCTTCAAGGTCCTTATAGTATGATCTGCCTCAACTCATCTAGTGATAAATTTATAACTCCCCTAAGGCCCTAACCTGTATGCATGCATTTCATAAAGATTCTTTTCTAATTAATGATTTATCATCATACTTTGTAGCAGATCAGTTCAGTTGTGATATTGAATCTGATGGGAGGGTTCAAATCAGAGGGGTGCTAACTGGTGGGAGGACTATAATGAAACAATCACGCATTTTTCAGATGAATACTCGGCAGTTATGCCCTCCAGGACCATTCACACTTTCATTCAGTCTTCCGGGACCTGTTGATCCAAGACTCTTTGCTCCTAACTTCAGGTCTGACGGAATTTTTGAAGGAGTTGTAGTCAAGCACTAGTTAACGGCCAAGAATTGGGGGTCTAGCTTTTGTGGTAATTCGAGAGTTCCCAAAGAGAGAAAACCAAGATACTTATTTTTGTGAGAAGCCAGTTTGCTTCATATGCTACTTCTGTCCTATAAATTGATGATGAACTAATTTTGTTCGTGTATAAGAATACAATGATCTAGCAAGTCTAGTAAAGAACTCGCTTCTGTATGCAGGGAAACATTGATTTTCTTTCATTAAAGAGTTTAATGTGTAACTTGGAGTGTGGATTGCAGTTGCTGAGTATCATCTTTGACTCTCACTCTACCTCTTTTTTGTTGCAAAAATAGTATCAAATAATTCGACGGAAAAATATTTGTATTTAATCAACTTCAATGCCGTCCAAATCTTTCACATTCACACACAGCTACTGAGAAAATTACAGAACATGCTTTGATAAATTACATCATACAAATAGATAGGCTTTTGTCTTATTAAATTTAATTTAATTTGCATTGAAAATATTGCCAACTGCATAAATTTTGGACATTCATGAGGCATTGTTGTTCACGTAGACCCCATCACAAGTCATATTCAGCTAACGGATAATTTACTTAGAATTAATTACTTATAAACTGTCAATGTAAAGTTTTTTTACACTGATAACCAATCATATCTTTTAATAGTGTTATGTCATTTATTTATTTAATTAAATAAAAATAAAATAAAATAATTTAAAAGATATGAGTGGTTGTTAGTGTAAAATCAGTGTATGAATGATTAACTCATTTATTTATTCATAAAACCTTTTTTCTTTTCTCTCTGCTCAGTTTTTAAAATATTTTCATGCAACCAAATACAGTGTAAAGGCTCAAGAAAGTAGGGGGAAAATGGTCAGCCTCATTTCGCATCACGCTTTATGCCCTTTTTTTTGTTTCAAATATGTATATGCATTACGTACCTATATAGAAAAGTATCATTCTTCCCTACCGGTAATTAAAAATAGAAACAAGGATTAAGATGCTCATTATTATATCAGCCCTGGTGATGAACGCATATTCTGCCTCTTAATTATAGCCTGTTTGGTTAACATGAAATGAGGCCTAAAAACAACCAATCCTTACAATAACTTGTGCTGTTTATTAGCTATTTACATTCTCAAAAGTCAAAATTAATTCTATGATAGATATATAGAATTGAACACGAGAGAAGTTAAAATTTTGTGTGTGTGTGTGTTTTTTTTTAAATAAGAATTGATTCTAGGTATAAAACTTGTGAAACATATCAATTTTCATTTCTAAAGTAATTCTATTGCATCAGTACAATAAAATTTATTTTCTTTCTAAATATCATTCCTTCACACAATTAATTTTTTTAAAAACTTTATTCTTTTCAAAATCAAGTTTTTTTTCAAAATTGATTTCACCAAAATTTAAAAGGAAAGAGGGTATACAAAAATTAGGGGAGGAAAATTAATTAATTTAGGCATCAATTTAAATGTTTCAAGAAAAGAAAACTTGACCAAGATCCGACTAGTTTTACTCGCATATAAAAGACTAGAAATGTGTTCGAGAAATTGTTTGAACTTTCCAAAACGTAAAAATAGGAAACAAGAATTTATCTTTTTTATGTTGAATGAACATTTACTTGTTTATAATAACAAACCAAACACCAGGTCATTTTTTGTCACCAACCATCGTTTAACATTTCAAACCAATATTGACATGGAAGGACCAACACAACATCCTATCATTTGGTAAAATGGCATGAATCATAATACCTGATTGTAAATAAAAGCACCCTACTGACAATTTTTTTTTTTAATAAATCCCACTATTATTAATTCATTATCAAGTAACATGTCCTTAAAATAATATCACCTATTTTAGGTGCCCCGTGACTTAAGTTCCTTGCTACTTAGAGTGATTAATTCCGATTAAGACTGATCTCAAATACCTTGAAAATGATAGTACACAGCATTCTAATGTTTTTTTTATTCTTGAAGACCCTTGAACTACCACACTTCAAGGAAACATAACGAGATGCTAACAAGAAAACAGAACGACAACCTTACCACATGAGAGTATTAAGTACAACCAGATTATCTAATCTATGTCTGGCTTTCACTGTCGAGATTATCTGTAAACAAGTCACCTACACGCTATTCTCAACATGATCGAAACATTTATTTTCAGCAGAGTTTCAAACAATTATAAATCCAAACAATTGATCATGGCTATTTTCTCTTCTTACTACTTCAGTATTTCAACTTTTTAAGAAATCCTTAATTATTTATTATCCAATAACCCATTGTCATGAATACCACACTATAACCGATTTTTTTTGCGAATAATCAAATTATTAGTATTTAACCATGACTGTCCATGAAAATGCATATACCGATTTACTGCTATTTCATTACATCATTGGTGTATCACCAAATATGTATGCCTACCATATGGTCGTCCCATTTTTATTACATTTATTTTAAAACTTAAATTTCATATATATATAGATTGTCTGTGTAATAAATTTGGTCAGTCATCTCTCTCCTACGGAAAATTTCCGTAGAGGATGTACACTCATTCGCCAAACTTTTCTCAGAACACATGTAGTTAATTTTTACTTTTCTATTTCCCTTTGGCCACAGTTTTCAAGTAAAAGATCTGTCAATTTAGTAGTTTTTAGAGTGTATTAAGGAGGGTATATTACAGAGTGTATTGTTAACACTCATCTGGTGCTTAACTTTGCCTACTCCATCATAGTGTTTCTCTATGAATAATTTTAATTCTAATTTTCTTCCAAAAGTAGGGAGGGGGAAGATAGAGATATACAAATGTGACTAATTTATCTCTTTGCTAGATATTACTGTAGATGTTTTACAGATTCAGATGCTCAAAGAACCCACATTTCTTTGCATATCATACACTTAATCGAAAACAAGGAATGGTTCCTCTGACATCTGAAAGCCAATCTTGCTCTGGATCATGCTGTTTGTTAGTTGACCCCTTTGGGATCAATTTCAAGCTTCATTGAATATAGAGTACTAGATGAGAGGCCTGCCAATTTTTTCTGGCTTGACCCTTTACCCACCGGAGCTTTACATGGTGGTTGCATGCTTTGAAGAGTGCAGTAAAATTAAGGCAAATTAAAATTGGACGGAATCTTCTTCCTTCTATTTGTCTGAACAAAACTTGCAAAACATCATTAGGCAGTAGTCCTTGTATGTCTCGAAGATCCTTCATCAAGCAACATCTCCATGTCAACAAAATGTGGTATCATTGAGAAAAGCAAAAGAAATTAATATCATGCAGAATCCCATTAGCAAGATTTCCCCGCGGAAATCATCACCTGCTGATGCTGCACAAAATAAAGAAAAGGGGAAAAGAAAAAGTTTTAAGAGAACATCACCATAATTCAATGAATTTATCACGTTCAGAAAAGAAACCGAGTCATCTGATACAGCAATTAACGCTTTTAAAGGTAAATAGCAACTACCCCTGCTTTGAACTTCTTTAAAAGTAACTGACATGCATGCAAGGTGATATAACTATGCAACAATTGTCCTTCGCACACAGAAATACCATGGTTGATGCATAAATAGCCCTGAACTTTATCAAATTATGTTTAAAGTCCACCTATTAAACTTCACTTCCCTTGTCAACATCATGCAAAATCAATTTAGTATCTAGATATTTTTATTAGATTATCATTTGCCATACTTATTTTCCGGTGAGAATGCTAATCTTGATTCTTGATCATAATCCCCTACTCTAAAACTATATTTAACACTGCAAATAAACCAAAAAAATAATACTGTTGAAGTGTATAAAAATACTATGAGTAACCATTTTACCAAAATGCTTAGCAGCTCCAAAAGGTAGAACAAAGACTTTTCAGAGGATGCTTAAATAATATGCTAGCATTGTGTTAATCTTATCACCAATTCCAACTATAGCCTAGCATGAGAAATGAAAGGAGAGCCTATTTGACAAGATAAACTTACAGAAAGAGGATGGAGCAAGTGACTGAGACACCAATTTTTTAGACATCTCTTCACCCTGCCGAAGCTTGGATCCAGGGGACACCTCAGCTACTCGTGACACATCAGAAATTCCCTCAGTTGTGTGGCTGGCAGAATTTGATGTAGGGGCAGCAACAGGTGAATAATTAGGGGGGTAGGGCGGTTTAGAATAAGATTTTGGCGAAGGGATTGGATGACGTACGAAGCCACTGTATGGACAGGGATCAGGAGGATGCTCAGGTACAATAGAAGGTGCAGGTGAGGATACATCACAGTCAGAACAAGGAGGTTGTTCAGCAGTTGCTGGTGAAATCTGAGAGTAAGAATGAGCACGATGTGGTGAAATTGAAGGCTCAGAATGATCAAATAACTGTAGGGATGGAGCCGGAGATGGAGAGGGAGAAGGTGAGGAAGCATGTAGTCTATTCTTCAAGAAAGAAGACAACCTAACTTCTTTAACTCTGCCGAAAACCGAGTTATCAAGGCCAAGGTTTTTCCCAGCCGAGCCTGTTATTGTTTTAGCTAATTGCTTTAATCTTTGGGGCAAGAGGCTCCCATAGCCTGGCAATACTGAAGCCTGCACCACTATTGGAGGAGCCATCGTTGAGCCATTTTCATTTGTTATTTGCACGTATACATTCTGCTCAAAAAGTCACACGGTGTTAAATATCAGAGTAATGAGCACGAAACTTATTTTAGCAATCAGTGAATATCCAACTTCTAATATTACCTCAAGCTATTAAACAAGGCGAACTATCATTCTTATTTGATTCATGATTTACACTAGGCTTGTTTGACTAGGCAAATAATGAAAAGTATAAATTGGACATGAATAAAATATCGACGGAAAGAATGTAAAAAATGGCAATGTATCTGGATTTTTCTGTATCTAAAAATACATTGTTTTCCACCTACTAAAACAGGCAGTCCTAAAATTTCATTTATCACCAACAGGATCATAAAGGCCTACCATAAGTTATCCCCTCCCAGTAACATAGAGTGCGTTTATTATCTTTGAACAAAGAATGCAAAAAATAAAGAGAATAATAATAATAATGAATAATTCTTATGGACTAAATTTGTGCTACCTTTGCACTTTATATTAAAAATTAAAAGTTTTGTTTTCTCCTTCTGTCCAAGAGTATCTCAGTAAATTATGCACAAGAAAAGAAGAAAAAAAAAGATTAATTACCATTTTTGGTCCCCTCTACTATGAATAATGAGTGATCCTTTGCTCAAATTTAGTCCCCAAGTTTTTCTAAATGTTACAATTAAGTCAAGCAGTCAATTTCTCTCTAAACATAAATAAAACCATCAAAATCTTATTTTCTACTCAAATAATTGAAGGTTCAGGACAACTTATTATTTTATCATATGAAATTATTTGAGAGGTTTACCAGTCAAAAGTTCGATGAAATTTGAAGGATTTCGTAGGATGTAGTAAATACTACAGTTTTGAAGAGAAGAAAAATTTGGGATTTTCTAATTTTTGGTAAAATATGATGCTTTGATTTGTGGATTTGTACTTTTTCAATGAAGAAGTTTCAAATAGTTTAAATAAGTTCACTTCACAGAAATTTTAAGAAAACAAGAATTTGGGTGACAAAAGGGCTTGATTGTAACAATTGAAGTAATTGGGAGACTAAATTCATGAAGAAAAAAAAATAGTGGGGCAAAAACATAAACATTGGTGATAATAGAGGGACCAAACTTGCAATCCAAAAGAAAAAGTGATAACAAGAATTTTTTGTGATTAAATTCAAGCTGAGTGTGAGTGAAATCAGAAATAGATTACAGCTTTATAGTTCTAAATTTCTATGTGAAGTGACATTTATAAAACCAAAACTGAAACCCTCAAAATAATAAGTGAATCGGATTATGAGACTGTACCTCGTCAGAGTTTAGATGCAATCCAAACTTCAATTCATCCTTGAAGTCATCAAAATTATCCAATACTTCAGATATTGAATTGTTAAGAGTAAAATTAAACAGAATCTCTGGTATCTGCCAAATAGAAGCAGACTGCACTGGTATTACAGTTAACCCTTCAGGAAACTTCAAGATCTCAAATATAGATGCATTCCCAAATATTGGTGTTGTCAAAGTCAGGTTGGATTGCTGGAGAAACAGTTCAACTAATGATGACCTCAGCACACTCAAGGACACTGGATTTATTGAAGCATTCATTGGATCAGAGAGAACACCAAACACCACGTCAGTACAGTTAGGTGTAATGCTTTGATGCATAGACAGGATAGCCACCTGTTAAGATTAAATAACTTATGAGCCATTTCCTATGTTTGAATGATAATGTTAATTTATACTTATAATTATTGGTCATTTGCATTTACAAAATCAACTTTCTTTTTCCTCCTTTTAATGATTTTTTTAGTTATTAATTGAGATTTGGTTACCAATACTTAATTATACCACTAATTCCCATTTTTTAGCTAACATTTGATCAGGAAGTGGATTGGGAGCAAGCCAAGCAAGAGAGGGCACATGGAAGGGAAGAAGAAAGAAATAAAGAAGACCTCCTAGAAGATTGTATAGCGCCATGTGCCACACTACTCACACCCGACTCCATCAAAGCTTTAGTCTTGTCAGTGTTGGGTGCCACTCTACCCACACTCGGTGCTGTCTTGGCAAAGAGCCTATGTCTTGCCAACACTAGGGGTCACTCTATCCACACTCGACACAATCTTGGCTGAGAAGCCCCCTTTCATATTTTGTGCCTACACTTGACGTGGTTCAGCCTGTGTTGGGCACCACTTTTATTACGTGACACATTTTGGCTCACTTTATCCCTCTCTCTTCAAGGGTTTTGCATCATTCATGACTTAAACGAGCTTTTGGAGTGCTGCCAGGGTTCCTTCATCACCTTCAAGCTTCTCTTTGGCTCTCCATCTTCCATGATTCATCTTTTTTTTTTTTTGTGTGTTCTTTGTGACAATGAGGAGTTAATTTCATCCTTGTTGGGGTTAGATGAAACCAACCAAACTCTCATGTAACTTGTACTGTTTATATATATGAGTGTGTCTTTTTATTTTAATGTTAGTATTTTGTTTATAATTTTAAATGCTTTTTGTGAAGTGATCAACAATAGCTTGATATTTTATTCATTAGGTATTGAAAAATATCTTTTGTAATCTTCAATTGAAACAAAATACCTAAAGGAGCTTGTACCTAGGAATAAGTTTGTTTATTAAGTATTCAAGGGATTGATGCTTAATAAGGGAACTTAGGCTCTTTCTCCTAAGGAATTAAGGTTTGAGTAAACTAGTGGATTGACATTAACATTAAATGCAAAAGAAGAATTGAGTGTTTTAAATGCATGAGTGAGGTTCAGTAAAGTCTAATCTCAACATTAACATACCATTTCATTTCTAATCTAAACCATCTTCTACATGTTTGAAAAAATACCAAAAAGAACTTTATTTTTCCTTTGCATAAATTTTATTTCTTTTACCAATTAATGAAATATTCTTTAGTCTAATTTAGTTATTGAATATATTTATTGTCGTGTATTACACAAGTCTTTTAGGAGACAATATTTATTCATCATTGACTACTTGTGCGACTAGTGTGTTTGCCATAATCGCCAGACACTGAACTAAGTCTTGAAAAAAACAAAAATATAACAGAAAAAGCTTGGGTGTAACCTTTGTATTTGGCAGAGCTATTTCACCATATATATCATATTCTAATGTTTCGATGTATGGAATAAGCTGTGAAACCGGTTTTTCCAGTCTGAAGGATGTCTGAACAGAAGCTGAAAATATTTTCAAGGAAAATAAATCATCAATAATGTCACTTGGATAAGAATTTAAATGAAGATACTGCTAAACTTAAGAGTACGCACACTGAATTATGTGTTTATTAATGGAATCTTGATTTTAGGCCAAAATTATAGTACAAGACAACAGCAAAATGTTTACCCCAAACAAAAAGTAAGTCTTTTCCTTTTGCATACACATAAAGCATCATGCACTAATTGCCACACAATTCTATAACTTCCTAAATTTGCATAGAGATATTATTCACAGATAATAATTTAGACCCATAACAACCTAAAGACACATTGCAGACAGTTTGACACTAATACTTCATGACTACTGAGTCTCAGTTTGCTTCTTATCCCTTCTCAAATAAACTTTCCAAGGTCTATCAGATAGAATCCGTAAGGCAGCAGATTAATCATAGAAACAGAGAGAAAATACATAAACTTATGAGTGAGTCGGAGTTGCAGTTGCACAGATTACACATTGATATTGCACATAACAAAGAATATGAACAACAAAAGGACTTTGGTTTTACCATGTTGGAGATAGTCATACAATGCTAAGCCATCAATGCATAGTTCTTGGACTTAAGTGGATTATATTTCATAATCCATGTTCAAATCTCTTAGGGAGATAAGGCATTTGTTGTTCAAATCTCTGGAAACCGCAGTATTCCAGGATTCCTATTGAATATCCTAATATTCTCCAACCTATGTTATAAAAATTTCAGGTAATAAAAAGTAACACACTAACACTCAGTGATGCAGCATTGTTAGGCTATTTATAGCAGTAAGGAGCTGACTACAACAACTTTTGTTTTTAAGGAGAGCTGACTACGACTTATTCAAGTTCAATATATACAATTATCTACAAATAATTATTCACATTTCACAATAATAACTACAAACAAGTTTTTTTTCTGTATTAAAGGATTTGAAATATAAAAAGGTATCACAAATTGCCCATATTGTTTACCTGAAGGCTGAAGGGTAGAAGAACAAACTGCTCAAATAAACCAAGAATAATATTCTCTTCCTAAGTAAGGGTCTTGCTAATGAGTCCATCAGCACTTGTTAAGGGTCAACAATAAGTTAACCACTTATTAATAATTTAAAACTTCTCTAAAATAATAAATTTCCAATTCTACACAACATTAATGCATTAATGTATACCAACATTTCCATACTTATTTTAAAAAAATTTCATAAAACTAATCATCATAGCAATCAGCATTTTAAATTCTTGGTCACTGATTAAAAAAAAATTAAATTCTGGGTCCAATACAAGTGATACAAATACAAATTTTCACGACAATTCATGGGTTATGCACATTAGCATACTAGGAAGTTAAATCCAAGATAATAGGGACACGAAGTTAAATCCAAGACTGTAGTGAGTGACACACAATCAAAAAGACAAAATCGGATACGTATGTTAGATGTCATCAAAGACGGAACATTGGCATGTATCATCAAATATTTTTTGTTCTCATAACTCTTTTTTTAAGCCAAAAAAAAAAAAAAAAAACCCTACATTTGTATTTCCAAAACATCAGACAAAACTGATCATAAACATCGGAGTCAAACTAACCACTACACACCCACCTGCCCGAGTGATTAGATATAATTCCTCGTTGAACAAAAGAAGAAGAAGAAGAAGAAGAAACTATGCAGCAATTGGCTGAAAACATCACAAAAATCTAATTTTGGTAAACAACATCATAACCAAAACCCAATTTCTTCAACCCAATCAGCATCACCCCTTCCCCCCAAGAGGACAAATATCCGATACAAGATCAAAAAGACAATTTTTTCAATCAGTCAATCGATATAACACTTAAAACAGGGAAATCAAACAACCAAAATGCAATTTTTTTAAAATTCCCATATGCCAGACATTCCCAAAAGCACCAACAAGGGAATCATTGAGAAGGGAAGGATGGGAAGACTGACCACTTTGCTTAATTACATCTTTTGCATCGAAACTATATGTGACGGTGTGTCTAGGAAGAACCCAAAAGACTGCAGAGACCAAAGCCGATACACTAAGTACGAGGAGGAAGAGACACTTGAAACTGAATGCTCGAAGAAGAACACAACAGGGTGGAGCCTCAACCTCAGTACCACCACCATGCCCTTCTTCTTGCACATGATGTTGTTGCTCATTTTTCCCCATTTCCAAAGCATCTGGAATCACCACCACATCCTCTCTCTCTCTCTCTCAAACACAACTCAACACTCAGTTTCTTAAGAATAAGAGGCCAAAGCTGTGTTCATGGGATTGGTGGCAATGATGCTCCTCACTCTCTCTCTCTAGAAAAAACCATTAAACCCACTTTCCTCTCTTAACTGTAATCTATCTATCTATCAATACTTGTAAATGTTACTCTCTCTCTCTCTCTCTAATTTTCCTTTTTCTTTTTAAGTTTTTTTATTAGGGTTAGCTTTTAGGCTACCGAACGTTGAGGGGAAGCAAAGGTGAAAGAGAAAGAAAAAGAGTATATGAGCATAAAGCCAAGGGAATATTATGTTTTCATGAGCATATTATTATCCTTATCATTATCATCTTGGGTAAAATTTAAAAGGAAACAACTATTTTACGTTTGCTTTTATTATATTTTATATGTGATAAATAAAAAAAATACAATCGATTAAACTATGGTTTCTGTTGAATGATAAACTTCAATAAACCTTAACCCATTGTGTTATTAAAATGAACAAAACAGAAAGAATGCAAATCGGCACGCGATTCACCTTCCTAGTAGTTGTTAGTGTAATCTTATTCCAATGTCAACTATTTGCTTATGATTTGCAATTTTGCATTGCCATTTTTTTATATATATAAATGGTGTCAAGAGATTTAACTTGTATCATTTAGAAGTAATCCTATTTTTTCATAAATTAAAATTGTGGTATCATCTTTTGCAGACTTGTGTAATTAACAATAATATTTGAGTGCATAATGAGGGTGCTTTTGTGTGGAAGAAGCTAAGAAATTGAGTAATTAAAAGTAGGCACGTGGGGCATTGAGAAGTGGAGAATCATATTTTTGGTCTGTAAGCCAATGAGACTGATGATATGTGGAGGTTGTAATTGTCAGAGGCAACACCTTCCACTTGATGCATATTTATTCATCCATGAGAAACCGCGTTTTCTACACAAAACTATTTATTTTAAAACAACTTCATTCACAGCTACTATATGATTTTAATTAAATTCTTTAATTTTACTAATTAACCTTTCATTAATTTATTATTTAGTGCCATAGTTTCTTTTTTTTTTTTAAGTTGTTTTGGTGTGATCTCTTTTTATTTGGATGCCTTTAGTGATTCGTGACTATTATTTGATTGTACGTTGCACTTACTTAAAATATTAAAACCGGAACATGTGGTTAAATGTTAGGTACCAATTACTAAATATATAGTATTCTTAAAGGGTTTATTTGTATTAATAATTTCATATAAATATGACTTAATAATTATATTTTTAAATTTTAATCATGTATTATCATAATTTTTTTTGTGTAAAATATAGTCTTTATATATATTTATTAAGTATTTATCGCATCTTTTTCTATATAAATGAATGTAAAAATATATGTTTTAAAATTAATGTAAAGTTTTGTAAAACAATAATAATATAAGATATAAACTTTCTAGGTACCCAGTTATCCACAATGAAAAATTAAAGACTAACCTCTTGGAGATTTATTTAAAGGTATAAGATCTTTCAATAAATATTCTTCTATATACATATACTTAAAAATTGAATAATTGATCACGTATTTAAAGTTTTGACAAAATAATAAGGATATATAATTGATATTTTATATTTTTTTAAAATTTAATATATTCAGGATCTTTCGTATTAATTAGATTATCTCTATCTTTATTTTTTTTAATTTTATCACTCAACGATAAATAAGTAAGGAGATGATTAATTGAAAAAATATTTTATGCTCTATTGATATGTAAAATGAAAAATAAAGTGGGGCATTATTTTTACTAAAACGTCAAATTAAAGAGAAATAAGAAATTAATGTAATAAAACCTTTTAATGATGATTTTTGAAATACAAATACATTAAAAAGGCATGCGAGAACATGAAAGGGATATCATTAGGAATGTCAAATATACCTGTACTCGCAGGTAATACTTGAACTCATCCCGACTTTAAAGGAGAATACCCGGTTTGACCGAGTACGGGTACGGGTAATCTCATAGTTAACATTTAATTTAGTTTTTAAAATATATTATGTTAAAATAAAGTTATTGATGAAATAAAAAATTAATATTATTTAAATTTTTTTTAAAAAATCTAATATACTACAAGAAATATTACATATAATAAATAATATATATAAAAAAACATTACTACAAATATAATATCAGAATAAATTTATTTAATATATGTTTACACATAAATTTTAATATTAAAATATTAATATTAAATGAGATTTAATAATATATATTATATTTTACTATA